TGTCTGCGACTCTTGGTGCATGCATCAAACCGTGTTAAGTTCGGCGGCCGTTATGCCACAAAGTAAATTTACCGAGTTGTGTAGCTTGGCGGTCGTTGTGTCAAACAGTAAATCTACCGAGTTGTGTAGCTCGGCAGCCCTTGTGTCACAAAGTAAATCTACCGAGATGTGAAGCTCGGCGGCGCCATTTGATCATGACTTGTGATATTTTCGGCACCGGACAAACAAACACATTAACTCTATGTTATTTATTAGGAAAAACTTATAAACCAGCCCACAGTAGCGCCACTCTCGAGTCACTGAAATCAACACGCCGGACCAAATTACTGGAAAAGTTATTGACGTGAGCCGCACACACGTACCATTGAAGGCTTTGACAGGGTTAGTGCGAAGTTTGAATTCAGATGTGAAAGCTTTTAAAACAGTAAATTCAATGCAATTCATTTTGTCAACAAGTTGATGATTGGATGCTCTTAAAAATAACAGAGAAAATTATCCGAAGAAATGTTTTTGAAGAAAGAAAAAGAATCCTGGGTTAAGCACTAATCGGCCTTTGAGTAACTGCGCCCGGTAACTCGCGCCAGTAAAACAATATGTTCCATTTACGACGCACTCTGGCCAATGTCCCCTCCGACTTAAAGCACTTAACACCGAACCATACGATATCTTTTGAAAACGTTCTTATGATACACAGTTTAAATAGAGGTTTCGCTGTACGCAACCCTAATACGTTCAAAATATGCCATAATCATATTTATCGATATCGCAAACACCCTTTCGCCTCAACTGCTACCTGTATGCCTAACAAACATATCGAACGCACTCTCCTAAGCTCCGATTACTCCTAGTCAGAATATATCACAAGTCTTGCTGACGTCAGCTTTCATATTGTGGCCTACATGTGCGCGCGGTTTCGGTATTCGGGAAAAAATCCGATGCGGTTTGCGGTTTTTTGGCGTATTTCTGTGCGGCTTTGCGGTTTTCGGACCCCCCTTACGCCCCCCTCCTGAAAGTCTAGTGATCCGAAAATTATAGGGATCAAAACTTACCTTTTCGAAAATTGCAGCCAGAAAAAAGGCTCCCGAAAATTCTAGGTGACCTTTTTAGGGTAAAAATCCGTTTAAAATGGGCAATTATAACATTTTTTAGATGTTCGAAAATCGAAGGAGAGGCAGGCAAGCTAGAAATTTTACAACAAATGTTCCGAAAATTCTAGATCTCAAATCGTCTTCCGAACAGATATTTTCCGAAAATTGTCGTTAGGTGCCCCTGATAGCCTGCGTAGCAAGCGTTTCCGTTTGGTTTCGGAGCAAAGAAAGACCGAGGAACGGGATTCTCGGTTTTGGCCGCGCGAGAAATGAAACAAGAGCCAAAAAATGAAAGAGGGGGGAGGGGAAGGGGAAGGAAGGACCTTCCTTTCTGCCCCACCCCCTCCCCGCTCTTTTACTTGCGCCATTTTTCGCGCGGTCTTTGACTCTCGTTCCTCGTTCTTTGCTCCTAAACCGCACGGAAACGCTTGCTACTCAGGCTAAACCTTCCATACCCTGCATAACAGGCGGGGAAGACGCAGATCCCCCGTCGCGCGTGTCTGGCGCTCCTCGCGCGTTTCGCGCTCGCCTTTCCTCTCCCGACAAACGCGACAAAATAACGCCCGTTATGCAGGCTAACTTTCTCAAGTGGCCACCCAAAATGCAAATAATTACTTTTCGCGTACGGGAAGTGATCGCCTCGAAGAATAGAATTGCGATCGTTTCGCCCGAAGGCGTTCGCCAGGACTTAGATTCGCGAGATGACATACAACACTCTACAACATGGTGAACCTACTTCTCCGAGATGTTATTTTAGTTAACCTAGGATTCAACATGTACAGTCACTTTTTTGCCATGCTTAATCCTTTTTTCTCAAGCTTAGAGAACGAGAAATACTCGCCAGGCGAATCGACTTAGTCTGGGCCAACTCCCATTGGGCGAAACGACCCGATACCGAAGAATCGAACCTCGGGGCGACTCTTCCTACAACAGGTCCGAACACATCTACATTTCAGAGGAAAATTCATGGCCTGCAATTTCGATGTGTGTAGTTTTATTTTGTTTCTAAAAGTACATCGCACCTCTTAGTAGTGAAGAACATATCAAGAACATGGAGATCACACCTCAGCGTGTAAAGAAAGTAGTGTCCGATAGCCCGGGACTAGTGGATTTTGCTATTGGGCTAGTGAATTCTGTTTTTAACTTTCCCGACGGGCAAGTGATGTTTTTTGAGGAATTCAAATAACGGAAGAACTGTGAAATCAATTCTGCTCATCAAAACGTTTTTGGGGCTAGTTGAAATGACGTCTGGGCTAGCAAATGCTAGCTTCGGCTTGCCCGAATGGCAAGCTGTAAAAATGATTTTCTTTGCACCCTGCACCATGCCCTAAGTGCTCGCTTGCAGACAATGGGAAAATAAAACGCCGTCTCGCGGTCGCTTACGAGAGGTTCTAACTATGGGCAAACTGGAAAGTTTTACTGTTTCTGGTTTTTGGTGTTTCGCTTATAAGAGGGGGTCGGTTCCCAGAGGTAGTCGCACATGGAGGTTCCACTGTACCCGCAGTATGCTGTTAATGTTCTAGACTACAATATGTGCCCGCCTGGTACGAAAAACTGCTAAAAATCACCCTTGAGAAGTGGCCAAAAAATTAATTTGTGGAAAAGTTTGATTGATCCCCGACTAATGCAGTGGCACGAAACCCAGGGGAAATGATTCAGGAAAAAACATGGAACGCTGAATACCTTGTTACTAAGAGTCTTCAGTCAAGTGTTCTGTAAGTGAACACCAAAAATGCGAAGAGTTAGTGGTCGCGTAGGGGAGGGAGTCTCCTACAAGGTCTTCACGAGGAGAAATCTGGACACATCTACTTTTTGGAGAGAATGTATCGCATGCAATTTTTAGGTTACAATAAATTATATGTAAATCCATGTTGTTTCTAAAAGTTCTTCTCATACTCTGAGTAGCGTAGTAGATGCAGCGAATACAAAGATCAGACCATTTTATCAGGTGTTTTTTAAAGAGGTTAAAACAATGGGAAATTCTTAAACCTTCATCGTAAAGGGTGGTCGCGGACGTTTACGAGAGGTTCCAGCTATAAGGCTTTGACTGGAGAAATTTTGTTTTGGTTTGGATGAGTGGTCGCCTACGGGAGATGATGTAAAGAAGTGGTCGTACCTCTACAGGTTCGACTGTAACTGAAAGAGATGCATGTGTAAATACCTAGAGGCATAATCTATATACAGAAATAGGAACGGTCATTCGAAAAACACGGACATCTGAATATCCAACAATATAAGCTACCGTAATAGAAACATTGTAAAACAAGAAGAAAGCGATCACGAAGAGTGATACAAATCCCGCGAGAAGGATATAAATGGTGCGAAACTGTCCCACGAACTGCTCCGCGCCTCTAAACCGCGCCGGCAGATTTATATTTCTGACTAATTTCTTCCCATGTATCTCAATCGTGAAAAAATGAAGTTCTTGTGACTCTTTCATGCATTCAAGCAATGTTACATGATTTTAAAAATGCATCTCACAACTACTTTAAATTGATCTTTTCACAGAGAACAGAGCTCTTTCAAAGAAACCTAGCCTCCACTTCTTGTTTGATGGATTTACAGTTTTCGCCAGACAAGCCTCAAGCACGTATTCTCCACTTGACTCAGCCAACATCTTTAGATGTTTCAGAAATGATTCGTCATGTCGGTGCATTGTTGTAATATTAGCGTGTATAAGTCAGAATAAAAAGATTTGCTCAACACTCAGAGGTACTGGTGAAGTCATCGAAAATAATGAAAGAACTGTATTCAGAAAAGTTCCCTTTTAACGGCAAAAAGTGCTTTTGGCCATTTCCCATTATTTTCATACCGTTGGGGGCTGGGAACGAGTTCCTATTCTGGGATCAACACCAGACCTACATGGTCAGAACAAGCTCACTGAGCTTTGCAAAACTTCCAAATCTGGCGGTTATCGAACCTATATTGAATGACAGCTATTCAAAATGTGTTAAGGGGACCCTAAATAACATGAAAAGTTTTGGTGGCAACTTTGTATCTGGCTCAGACGGGATTTATATGGGGTGGAAAATGTCATGTGTATATCCCAGCATGGAAACGAGGCTCAAGCATAAAATTGTCCATAGCTTTCCATTATTTCAGTAAAACTTTATCAAAAACAACACATTTGTACACATCAATGTTTCCAATATGAACAAAACTTGGAAATTTGTGCGGCCTGTGTTGGTGGCAACCTGTCTGATTGTACTTATTTTTTCTTGAAAAGGCTCCATCGTAGGTCTTTAACAGTCATAAGTTTTGTTCTTGGTTGATATGGCAGACAGACAAACTTCTCAATGGCTGCGACAATTTCTTCATTTGGATGAGCAGCTTGTCCAAGTTCTGCAAGGGTAGTGATATCTGATGAAACTGCTTCTGCAAATATCTTCCAGCAGAGAAGCTTTCCCTTTCCTGAAAAACTTCCTGTGTTGTCAGCTCAGCTTAGCGCGTGGGATGCTGAAAGTGCTGCTATCTTCTCTGGGCCAAGAGTTTCAGAAATGTATGATATTTGATGTCAATTGCATGAGCATAAAATTTATTTCCCTTTACCTGACGTCCACACAGACGGACGTCGAAATATTTCTTATTAAATTTTGGTGGAGATTTTGGATGGCTGTATCACGTTCAATATTTGCCAAATAACGGTATTTTCAACTTTGACCAATTATCCGTTTCACTGATTTTTGGCGCTTAAATTGTGCATATTAATGAGGGCGTAGACAAACAAGCTCTCAGAAATAATTAGTAGTTATTGGATAAGACCCTGTTTACTTGGCTCTGGACAAATTTTTGAACGGACGATTTTTTTACCTGTACAACCATTCGACAAGGAACCGTACAAATATTCTGTTACAGACTGTAGTACTGTTTGCCGTTCAAAAACCGTTCAAAAATTTGTCCGGAGCCATGTAAACTGGGTCTACAGATCATACGAAAGCCGAATCCAATAATTGTGTATTATTCACTCAAATTAATTCTTAGTATAAACAATAAAACACACCTAGATCGAGGTTTAGTTCCCGGCCTCAATTGCCTGTTTCTTGGAACGTTCAGGATATAAGGGGATGTTTAGTCTAGCAGGTAGTCCATGACAGATTTCATCCATCGAGTTGTATTCTTAGGCAGAGGTTCGGCTATTACTTCTTCACGAAAAGTGTGAAATGTTCTGCCATTCCCTACTGCTCTACGAAAATAATGCAACTACGTTCCAATCAATCAATTAATTTTTTATTTAACTCATACAAAATATGCATGACTACAATATTCACTCCTGCTAAAACGCAGGTGGACGAGATCGATCAAATTGAAACTCCTAGTATTATAACAGAAGGGTTCTAAACAAAATGAATACACATACACATGTAAAAGAGAAAAGGAATTATTTGTCCAAATAATTTACAACTTAAATAATGTTATTAAAGAGGAGAAGGAAAAGAAACGTTATTAAATACTGTCCCCAAATACTGGTTTGTGTTGGTTTCTCGGGTACCTCCCTTTGCACGTGTTTGTACATTTTTTGCCGTCATTGCAAGCCTAATTTTCCGTATTATATAGCTTGGAATTTTTTCTAAGGAAGTCAACTCCAGGAGCGTTTCCTTACCTAGTGAGCTGGAATATTTGCGATTAGAGTGAAAAAACACAAATTCACTTTTGAAGCGACGTCCTCGGATCGTAGGTCTCACAGAAACAATACTCTGTCGCTATGATAAATTTGTAAAACCTACGATCCACTTGGTTAGCTGAAAAAGTAATGTCCATCTAGCCTCTTCATCCATTCAACCAGTTAGCCTGAAATTCATCCGATTGCTTCGAGTCATTTTCTGGCTATCAACCAGTAAGTCTTTGTCTTGCCTTTTCCCTGTTTACGAAAGAGACAAAGAAATGATAATCAACAACGGTAAATGGTAATATGATACATGGAAATTTGCTCTTATAGAAATTCAATATTTTGCACGCTACACGAACAATATGCACATGATACTGTTTGCACCATACCTTTAGCTCTACCGTTCTTCGGTATTCCATTCTAAAATCGGTATTTTCCAAACACTTCTTTGTTGCCTCACTTATGTGCACTCTCATTGGCTGAAAGAAAATTTCGAGCTTTTAGATGTCTTTGGAAGAGAAAGTTAATAGATCAAATTACATCAGTGCAGGAATAGGTTTTCATGTTTATAGCCCGGGGGGGGTGGGACTCCGAGTATGAAAGGGGTGGGGATGCTCGTCGTCTCGCTTAGGGGTGTAACTTTCGGATTTTGGTCTCACTTAGGGTGTTCTGGGCAAAACGCCATCATATTTAGCCGTGAAGGTCTCGTTCAGGGTTGCACGCGAAAAAATATAAATATATATATATATATATATATTGTATGTTTTTTAACATGGTCTCTTTTAGGGGTCAAAAAAAGCTTGGGCCACACCCAGATCGGTCTCCTTTAGGGGTTTAATTCAAAATTTCCGACGAGCATCCCCACCCCTTTCATACGCGGAGTCCCCCCCGGGGGTTTATAGTGGTTTTGTTTACCATTTACGTATGTAAACTGGTCGGTTCACAGTTTGCGCAAATGGTAAGCAAAACTCTATACTGGTAAATTTCGTCCCGAAATTGCGTTTACCGTTTGCACTAATCAGTTACAATTGGCGAAAAACGGCCGCAAAAGGCTGAAACTGGTATCAAAGTTCGCCTTGAAGAGATGGATCAAAAGTTTCCGTTTGGAATATTCCTGCGCTAGGTTTCTTCGGGCGCGCGGGAGCTATGAGCTTTGGTCTATGCATTGCAAAATGTTTGGTCTTTATTCATACCATACCAGTGCTGTTGTCCTGAGCCGTAGAGCAATGTTAACTGTGTCTCCAAATAAGCAGTACTGTGGTGTCTTCTTACCCACTAATCCCGCCGCGACAGGACCCGAATGCATGCCTGGCAGAAGGAAAATATGAAACTTAGGCTGTGTGCAAACGGACCCAACATTGTTGGGCTAACAATGTTGGGACCTGCAGTGCATCGTGGGAAAGATACAACCCATAAGTCTTTGTAAACCATGCGTAATGAGCGTGCGTGGCCCCAACAATGTTGGAAGAGTTCTGCAAACGGATCCAACATTGTTGCGCTACGCTTCGGCGATCACGGAACGAAAGAAATGTTGGGAATTGTTGGCTGAAAAGTTTGACCGGTTTCAAACTTTGCGAAACAACACGCAACAACATTCAGCAACATGCAACAGGGTGCGAAAACGGACGCAACATGTAACATGCAACAATGTTGGGAGTTGTCGGCCAACAGTGTTGCGTCCCTTTGCACGGGGCTTTAAGAGGCTGTCCGCGTAAGAACCGATAAGGCAAATTTTGGTCTATCACGGATTGCCCTGATTTTTCCAGTGGAAGATAACTATCCTGTCCCATGAAGAAATATCACATTTATTTGGACCAACTCAATTTTTTCTCTATATTACAAGAAGATTTTCTCGGTCACCTAAAACTGGCCAGTTTGCCGTCGGAAGTGGTGCGATTTTGGTGAAACTTTAGGGCTCTGTTAAACCTGCCTCACAAAGCCGAATAAGCTGATTATTTTACACACAAAAGCTTTAACTATGATTAATAGTTTCAAGGTTCAATGGTTGCATTCTGTGGAAAGTTGGCTGAGATATGAGTTTTTTAAAATGACCTTTAATTTGCTTATCGGGAAAAGTAATTTGCATAACTGGAGCTCAACGGTAATTTCGCAAAAGTGGCACCTGACCCAGACTCAAGTCTATGATAAAACAGAAGTACTAAGACCAGTCTACTTCTTAATGCAATAAAATTTGTGGGCACTCCTCTTTGCGTGCGGTACAAAGTTCCGTTAATGTTCCAAAATTCGCCATTTTGACAGCAAAACTGGAATTGTAACGGTCTGCATCTGGTCGACTAATTTCCACAGCTTTAACGTTTCTAGTTATCACTGACTGTCATTAGACCCTTTAAATGTTGTACTTTCGAAAACATGAGAAGAAAACTTGGTAATAGCTTTTTCTTGGTTTTTTTCCTTGTCGACGATGAAAATGACTTCATTCTCCGTATGCAAATTAGCCTTAGATGAGTCGTTTCAACAAATTGACAGGAAATATAATACTTGTATTTCATTTTTTTAAGGGAAAAATATCTCTTCTTTCCACGAAAAAACACGAACGATGTATGACTTAGAATCCCCTTAGGTCTGTTTCTTTTACGAGGAAGAAGCAGCAGAAGAAGATATGTTTACGCGAATTAAAATAATTCAATTACTGTGGCTCGTCACGCATTCCCCCAGAGTGACCGTGTATCGATCAGTTCTTTTATCTTATTATATCTTTTATGAGGTGATAGTTATTGATAATCATACAATTTAATCACTGTTAATTCCGATTCTTTACTGGGTGGGAAATACCGTGCTGTTGAATTTATTCATTCTACGACCGTTTTAACTGAGTCAGTACCACCCAGTCTGATCACCGGGCGCCACTAGGATAGGGTATATGACGGCCCATGGTGTAATACACGACAATTAGCCTAAAAATAGTCACTTGGAAAACAAAAAAAGGCATAGTTTTTTGTTAACGGTCTGTCTCCTGTTAAATCCCAAAAGTTTTTGCCGGCTGTTAATCACACTAAATTAAGGATCCCTATGTTGTCTATGTTTACTACTGAGCTGATGGAGAAAAGCACGTGCACTCAGTGAATGAAAGACGAAAGTTTGTAAATTAGGTCTCCCTTTTCTTTCCCTGGATTTGAATGGTATTTCAGAGTGACACAACTTATTTTTTTTAGCATTCCCCAGGGCTGTAGTTAGGTTTTTTGTAACGAGGGGCATTATCGCGAGAGCCGAAGGCACGAGCCTTGTAGGGGGTCTGGGGGTGTCCTCCCCCAGAAAAATTTTCAAATTTGGAGGCTCCGAAATGCTATTTTCAGCACTTGTCATGAAATATGTCTCCGAAAAATAGACCTCGACAGGAGCCCATGACCTCGAAGATGAAAATGGCAAACAATAGCAAATCACTATAATCAAAATAACTGAGTCTAAAGAAAACAAATCCATCCACAGACTTGATTTGTCTGGCTCAACAGGTCCAGGGGAGGCAGCTGCCCTACGGCTCTCTGACCACTTTGAACTGACTAGGTTGATCTTTCTTTGACATACAGATAGGCTGAAAGCTTCTGATTGATCATGAGGGTGTTGTGGTCTCAATTATTCTTCAGTGATGCCTGCAACAAGTTTTTGCCTTTCGAACACCTCGTCTTCTTGCAGCAGATCTCTATCGTCAAGTTTAATGTATATTCAAGTTCATTACATTGGTTATTTCGTCCATTGCCTTATTGTAATTACACTTAGGTGTTGACTCAAACGGGCCTAGAGTCCAACATGGGCTGGCAATAGGTGAGCACGGAATTGGCCTATACGGGGAGGCTCCGGCTTCAGGTATATGAAAGGGTAGGCTTTCACTAGATGAAGTATAAAAAAGGGCGAGTGCGCTTATTGCAGCCTTAGCAGCACCTTTGGCGGTACTTAAAGAAAAAAGAACTAAGTTTAAGAATTTAAGGAAAAAGTAGCAGGACTTAAGTTTTCAGAAATTAATATACAGAGGAGAAATTTCACCCCTTTAAGTATAAATGCTTGTAAAAGTAGAGGTGGAATCGGAGGGAGAGAGGGTGGATGGTAAAGTAGGTTAAAAATAGAGAGATAGGAGGAGCACTTTGATGGAGCACATTGTTCAAGAGGGTATAAATACAAAAAAACAGCAATCTGGAGGCATTTTTGAAGACTTAATGAAAATGTTTTCAAAACAAGAAAAACAGAGAAACCTTGTCCAATAAACCTCTCCGGCAAACGTGTGGACATGGTTGCTGACTGTTCAATCGTACTCTTCTCGACCCTTTGGCGTCAAGTTTTTTTACGTTTCTTGCCACAGGAGGAGGAAATCGGCTATAAAAAGTTGAACTGAACATTCTGGTACTTTTAAGTCTCACTAATTTTTACAAAACCAGAGACATGTTTTAAACACTGTTTAAGTTAAAGAAAATTGTTTTTATTGCAAGAATGAAATACTTTTCACACGCGTCCCAAGGACATTCCTCTTAGAAAATGGGAGGGGCGGGAAAGCCCTAGGGACGAGGTTGAATCCTGACTCCGTGTAGAAAGTTCTTTCTTTTTTCCCCATTTATAATGCTCTTCAAACAATCATGAGAAAACTATCTTTTACAACACACGGATTAACCTTTATGTATAGTATTTTATAGGTAAGAATTGATTAGAGCAAGATACACGGCTGTCAAAAAATAGAAATAAATAAACTATCTTTGCAAGCTCAACTAAACTGGAAACGAACATCAGAAAACATCGCAAGATAAAATGTTAAATGGAGAAATAAGAATATCTCTGTACGTTTAGAAATTTTTTGCATGAAGAAGAAAAAAGAATGATACTTACATGATGGAGCAAAACTTTGACTTATTTCCTGCCACAGTAGTTATTTTGTCAGTATGATCCAGAGTGTGACCGGGGTATTGACAAGACCTTAGGCTCGATTTCCGCCGTCTCCCAATCCCTTGGGGGTTCATTTTCCAGCACAGTAGACCTTGGCGCTCGCAAAAACCTGCCAAGTAGGTGTCTGTGCCTTGGGCAGATTGTCATTTTAGCGTTAGCGTGTGTACACACCACCCCCATGCACCCCCTCGGAGAAAGGGCCCCTTCTCCTATTTTTCCCAAGGGGAGGTGGGGGGTTTGTACACAGGCTATTTAGTGTCTGTGCCTTGGGCATATTGTCATTTCAGTTCCGAATACCTACCAAACCTCTACTCTCGCTAAAATGAGTTCATTCAGTCATTGACTTTGCTACACTTAGACAAGTGACAGCTGGCTAAGTGCGACGTAATATCATTCATGCACTCTGCGACCAACACATTTCCCTCCACACCCCTACTGGGACCACACTCTGTCTTGACGATCTCGCGAAAAGAACAGCTTTTTTCACAATTGATCTCTTCGGCGATTTCATTGGCATAATTATATTTGAAACTGACACCTGTTGCATTATGATTCAATTAGATTGAAACCAGAACAAGATCATCTTGGGAATACGGATGTTATACCCTAACAAAAACTAAAAACTGAGATAATCCCTTTTGCGTGTATTCACTGAAAAAAGAAACTATTTTTCCCGTTTCATTCTGCTACCGATAAATGCTTTAAAGATCTTTGAATGACACTGAAATTTACAGCTAATTTGCCTTTTGCAAAGCTATACATGGATTTAGATAGAAAAAGTGTGGGGCATTTTTTTTCATCATAGTGCCGTGTACAAACGTCTGTTTAGCAAAAAAGAGTGCCCACAAATTTTATTGTGGTGACAAGAGGACTTACCTTGCAAGTTAACTCTTATTTTTAATTACTATCAATAACTACCATTTAAAAAAAGATGATAATATAATAAAATTGATCGATTCAACGCTATTGTTTTCTAATCGACCGCCGCTTTTTAGGAATGCGTGACAGGCCACAGTAATTGAATTATTTTAAGCCACGCAAACATATGTCATGATATATTATTCAGCTGTTTCTTCCTCGTTAAACAAAAAAAAACAGACCTTAAGGGGATTCTAAGTGATGGTTTGTGTTTTTCTATGGAAAGGAGAGTTATTTTTCTCCTTAGAAATGTGAAATGTAAGGATTATGTTTCATGTCAAGTTGTTGAAAAGACGCATCTACGGCTAATTTGCAGGCGGTGTGCGTCACGACCCACAAAGGTTCATGGGTAAACCTGTTACTGTGCCTCATTTCAATCGTGACACGGTCGAGTTCGCATCTCGTGAGAGAAATTAATCAAACCCAGCGATCAAAACACTGCTGCCTTTTCCGAAAAACATTACGGAAGAGAACGATTTCGAGAATTTTCAAGATCTCATAGTGGCGTTAGATGATTGCTATTGGCTTCATAAGGCAATTTCAAGAAGTTTATCGCGATTCGGAGACGATCGTGCGATCTAGCCGACTTTGAGCGGCGACTAATTTCCTGCTTGTCATAAGATTTTATGTACTGTTTGGTTTATATGTATGTTTTTATCTCATAGTGAAAGAGATCTGTAGTTCATACCTGGATTTGCTTAACTAAAAAAAAAAATTCGTCCATTAGAAGTGTTTATATATTTGATGGACTTTGTTACCGGCAAAGCAGGGGGAGCGCGTGCAAACAGCAAGGTGAGAAATCGTCTCTCATAACAATTTTATTTTCATCGACAAGTTTATATTATTTTGAAAACAGTGCCCGTTTGAAATCCTTATGCGCAAATAAATCTTCTATCAGGCAGGGGAAAACAGACCGAAAGAGCCGAACAGCTGCAGGACAATCGGAATTTCACCGAAGCTACAGCCGCAGAAATAAACAGTGAAATAAACCACGATCTTGTCTGTGCGGTCATTAAAGTGAGCGCAGTATATCGATTTTGTTATAAAGTAAAACCTAACCTCAAAGAGAGATTTATAACAATTTATTCCCTCACATAAGTTTACACAAAGATTTGCATACACGTAGCACACACCGCATGCAAATTATTTTAAAGTCACGCTTTCAGTTTCCGCACTGGGTTATGAAAAATGTTTTGTTTCCAAAGGTTATTACAATATTCAAACTTATTTACCTTTTGTGGTTTAAAATAGAACAAAGTCTTCCTGGATTTGGCGTTACTCGCTTCACGTCGGCTTCCGCTTCGACATGTTTTCACAGCGCGTTTCCCGGGAGTTATGCCACTTGGCTGAGACGATGTCTTAATTCCAAGACACTTTCAACGGCTCATAACGGGAAAACTAACAGGGGTAGACCCAGGTAGACCCCCGAAATTTGCAAAGAAGAAAAGGTTGAAGTAACAAGATGGCCAAAATAATGCTATAAAACCGCTAACAGTAACCTGCAATAAATCCAAGAAGAACGGGGAAAACAAAACTCAAATAATCATGGCCGCCTGCACATGACCGAGCAATTCAAACTTGTCACAAACGCTCAAGAAAGCAAAATATTTAAAAGTAACGCAACTGCTATTAAGATAAAGTGTTCCAACAACTTTCCACGGCGGTATAGTGTCGAAATTGCCAACACAAGCTTGGAATAAAGCGAAAATTTCACCACGTATACCTCTGAAAACAGCTCTTTCCGAGCGCGAAAATCACTCTACAAATGACGCATTCTGATTGGTCGAATCTCGTGACGCACACCGCCTGGCTAATTTGCGTACGGAGAATGAAGTCACGTTCATCGTCGACAAGAAAAAAAACCAAGAAAAAGCGATTACTAAGTTTTCTCCACATGTTTTCGAAAGTCCAACATTTAAAGGGTCTAATGACAGTCAGTGATAACTAGAAACGTTAAAGCTGTGGAAATTAGTCGACCAGATGCAGACCGTTACAATTCCAGTTTTGCTGTCAAAATGGCGAATTTTGGAACATTAACGGAACTTTGTACCGCACGCAAAGAGGAGTGCCCACAAATTTTATTGCATTAAGAAGTAGACTGGTCTTAGTACTTCTGTTTTATCATAGACTTGAGTCTGAGTCAGGTGCCACTTTTGCGAAATTACCGTTGAGCTCCAGTTATGCAAATTACTTTTCCCGATAAGCAAATTAAAGGTCATTTTAAAAAACTCATATCTCAGCCAACTTTCCACAGAATGCAACCATTAAACCTTGAAACTATTAGTCAGAGTTAAAGCTTTTGTGTGTAAAATAATCAGCTTATTCGGCTTTGTGAGGCAGGTTTAACAGAGCCCTAAAGTTTCACCAAAATCGCACCACTTCCGACGGCAAACTGGCTAGTTTTAGGTGACCTAGAAAATCTCTCTGTAAAATAGAGAAAAAATTGAGTTGGTCCAAATAAATGTGATATTTCTTCATGGGATAGGATAGTTATCTTCCACTGAAAAAATCAGGGCAATGCGTGATAGACCAAAATTTGCCTTATCGGTTCTTACGCGGACAGCCTCTTAAAGTGACTGAAGAACGTAACTTCATTTATCCATAACTTGCTGTTTCAAATTCTAAACAGTACTGCGTAAGGTGAAGCAGAAGACCATTATTAAAACAAACAAAACGAAACCAAACAATTCACAAACTATGCGACAAAAACTTGAAACAAGCAACCAAACCGAAACTGACAAGTTATTTAGGCGGAATGTTTCACTCGTAAAATCTACATTATTTGGGGTCATGCCGCACAAATCAATTACAGTGGTTGTATAACGCCTTCAACGACCCAGGAATGCTACTCTGGCATTTTATTGTTGACGGAAACCTGCTGATTTCATTGGTTTTGCACGGACCGTCTGCTGTGATGTGGCTAACTGAAAGGTCTATCAACTTTTTCTAGATTCATCAGATATAAATACCAGTTGGGCAGTGATTACTTGGCTAAAATACTTATTGATCTAAATTTGACCGTATTTTTGATGGACTGGGACATGCAGTTTACAACTACAGCTGAAACCCAGCAAATCGTAAGGGACTGTGCAATAATTATCAGGAGGGGAGGCTGAAAAACTAGATGGGGGGCATTACATAAAATTGCTGCCAAGATAAGGGGGGCTCAAAGTAAAATCACTCATTTGACGGAGGGGGGGCCTTAAGTTTTATTCGAAATGTAAATAAAATTAAACGCAATACAAGATTCTCAATACAGGCATCATGATAGACTGTAACAAATATCAATACGAACAGCTGTTAAACGATTATTGAAAATATTCCATCAAAATGAAAAGCAAATTCACAACTGATCAATTTTAACCCGTCTTCTAATTAATTGAGCTGATCCTATGTAAAGCAAAAATCATGAACTTGTTTTTCAGCTTTCCCCATAAAACAATGGGAATAAAAAAAACAAATCTCGTAGACATGCTTTGTCGGTTTTTGATGTGAATAAAAGTAATGTTTCTTCATCGACTGAATCGATTTGCTGACTTCCATATATATCTGCTCATAACAAAGTTCAACAGGCTCTCCTCCCAAGGATCTAAATATAATGCAAGCTCTTTTTCGTTTGTTATTTGAAGCGTTCAATCTCCTGTTCTTCGATTTTTTTCTCTGCTCCTTTCTCTTTCTGGCTTCAGAAGTTTTAGATTTTGAGCCAATGTAGTAAGCACCCCGGTACTTAGCAAATGCTTTGTCTAAATCTGAGTGGTGGGAGGGGGGGAGTTGCGACGTTATTTTTAACATAACATAGGGGGGCTAGAACTAATTATTTTTTGTTTTGGAGGAGGGGGTACTGTCTAAGTTTTTGCTAGATAACTCTAGTTTTTCAGCCCCCCCCCGCCTCCTGCCCTCCTGATAATTATTGCACAGTCCCTAAATGCTACATTTGGTTGACTTCTTACCAATGGATACTGTCATAGGCTCTTTATTGGCAGGATTTTTTATTTTCTTGACAGCCTCTAGCATATCAAGTGCCATTGCTGAGGCTGCTTCTGCATGATGCATGTTTTTCACTGGCGCACCACTGACAGTCATATACATTGCATCACCCGAGGTTTCAACCTGCAAATTAACCAATCTCCAGATAATCTGTATTATTATTCATTCAAAATATTTCCCCGATTCTCATTGGCTAAAAGCACACGCATAATTCACCATAACCAGTTTCTGATGACCAAATTTGGAAGAATTTTGTGTTTAACGAGGAAATGACGTCAAAAATGCAGCGTTCGTGCAGGTTAAGGCACCGTTAACCGAGAAAACCTATGGACGAGGTTGAGTTGTTTTGGTTGCGAAAACAAAAAATGGGGGATATTTCACTCGTTTCAAGAGTAAGAACTAGGAGCTAAAAATATGGTAAGAACAACAATAAGACAACTCGAGGGGCGACATCTGCAATTTGGAGAATATTTGGGGAGATGGACAAACCTAAACTTGCACTATCGAAGATGAACTTAACATCGATGGATCGATTGAGGTAAGCATGTTTTTAAACTAGGAATTGATCCAAAAGGCCTAGATAGCAGCAACAATATAGATGGTCGTATAAACATAACAACTCTCTGTAATTTTCCAGACATGTTTCGACGGTACATCCGTCATCTTCAGTGTTACATATTTTGAAATCGCCGTTGAATTTAAAGCGCGCGCGATCTTACAAAGTTCGTTACATTGCGTTGTCAATATTGCGTACTAAAACAAAATTAAATGAGTAACCATTATTTAATTTTTTTTCTCACAGATCTCTTTTCTTTGTTCTCCTATTCACCGTTCGATCGTTCCTTTCGTAGAACACTTATCTGTACGCACAGGCTATGCATAGCAGTGAAATGAATCAGGTTTTAAAGGTCTGAAAATAGAACCGGATGTTTCCCCTCTTTAATCACCCGACTACCTTATAGACATCGTGCTTCTCAGTCAGTTTGTCGAATATGGTAAACATGTCGTTTACCAGGCTCACAATTTCCATAGGTCCAACCTGCGAGCAGATGCTTTCAAAGCCATCCATGTAGCTGACCATAACCGTGACACTTTCAAAATTCTACAAATCAAAGTAAGGAGATAAATCACCGTGAACCGTGCAAAAACATTTCTCAAGGGGTTTGAGGCCTGGATCAAAGGACACGTGTTCAGAAAATGTAGCTGGGATGCCTTTAACGGGATGAAACTTTCCCGTAATGTGGATCTTCAGGTCTCCTTGTGGTTAACGTATATTAATGGTCACGTGACATGTCACGTGGTCAAAAATTTAAAATCAAGGAAATTGGCGAATTTGTGACGAATTTACGCTGAATAGTTTCCTCAATTGGCGTTTCTGATAGAGGATAAACATATTGTACTTTTTTACGTTTGGAATTAATGTACTCAAAGTATAAAATTATTGTTTTGAATAAATTTAGACTATATTTGAATGGCTCCGAGGCTGAAAAGAATAGGCAATAAATTACTCATCCCTGAATCTCAAATTTTGTTTTACACTCTTTTGCCTACGAGCCAAGTATGCATTATTTTTAATATTCTAGATCCCCCTTATTTCCAACGATTTTATTAGGTTTTTTCTTGAGTAGAATAAACAGTTCAACATAAGAGAACTGCTTAGCAGCGCAGGTCCTTAGTATTAGGGGGTTTACGTTCTGTTGGCACATCTTAGAGTTAGCAACATACCTCACAGGTTTCCACAACCTTACCACCAAGTCTCAATCTATCGGCGATGGCTTTCGGCATCCTTCTATAGGGCAACTCTTCGATTTGTTGTCTCATCAACGCCAAATTTTCCATGTTTTCTTCTAAAGCCTTTCCTTTTTCGAATTCCTGATCAAAGAGAAAAGAGAAGAGATCATAAGGAACTGAATTTATTTTTCAGTTTCTGTTATGTAAATATCCTCTTATGACTCTCTACAGTACTCTACTTCATAATTCTACTCAAATTCATGGTAAAAGAGTGTGCCACACGAAATAGCGCCCCGAACATGATCCACATTTATATTATTGCCAAATGAAATAAGGGCGTACCAGAATATTCAGGACATTTATCAATCAAAGCTGAAAAAGGAAATAAGTCTTGAAAAGCCAACGAGCTGTCCCGTTAAAAGTACTTGTTAGGCTAAGTTCTGATACCTTTTCCAAGGTCTTCTCTAGTTGATGCATTGGTTTTATCCCAGAGAGCACCATCTCGCGTGACATGTCGTGCAAACTTAGATCGTTCATGTACAGACCAAGGCGCATCATTTCTTCAGTACCTCCGATTCTGTTGAAAGATATGCAGTATATTTTAGCGACGTCCAAGAGCCCACCTCCAACAAGATACATTAATTCTTAGGCAAATTATTTGGCACATAAAAGGTCGACTATTTGACTTATGAGGGAGGGTGGAGGGGGGGTCGAATATTCTTCACTGAAAAAACATATCTCTTATGGCGGATAATGCTAGAAAAAACCTTACACCGTCATATGTCGAGGAAAAATCTATATCAAGCTTGCGAGCAAGCCCGGAGAGCTTGCTCACAAGCTAATCTATCTCTAGAAAAGTCTCTCAAAAGTCAAATGGTCAACTCCTTATTTCAGCAAAGCAGACTGAATCTGTATCTACAAAACGTTGTAGTTAAGGTGGCCCGAACCTCTTTATACACGCCTTGGTTAAGTTTTTGAATCGTATTTTTGGGCAGGAACGATTTAGCCGATTTCTACGATTTTTTTGCATCCTTAAAAAAGAATGGTGGAAATTTAAGAAAATGTTATTTATTTTCTTGTAGGACTAGCTTAGGACTGGTTTAAAAGCGTTTGAGAGATCGGCATATTTTTAAAATCGCCTTTTTTACAAAAAAAATTTCAATAACTTCGAAACCCTACTACAGATTTTTCTCTAACTTCAACAAATAAGCCTCAGAGCTCTCTAGTTTAATATCTGCAAGTTTAAAGTCAATCGTGACCACAGAACTCGCTGCACAAACTGTTGGTCAAAGCTGACGTACAAATAGAGAAAGAGTGGCGACGATTTATCTCTTATCTGCAAGTGAATTCTTGTCCACAGCTTTATTGCAAGAAACTGAGTAATCAGAAATCTACGGTAAATACAGTTCGCAATACAAAAAGAACAACTACATGGTGCCGAATTGCGAGGCAAGATTGAAGAACCTTTAAATCTCAAAGTTACTGTGTATTTTGTGCAAATACTTGGACTTCAACCTAGTAAGTGTGACACTTCACGTCCGCGTACAGGAAAGGGCAGACATAAGTACATGTAGTGGTTTCACTGCAAAGTTTTGACACTTTGACGTCATTTCTTTGGTCGATAAGAGTACAGACCATGGAAAATTGTTTTGTTTTTTACCATAGCATTGACAGGTTTGGAGTCCACTTCCGTTGAAATTCTCGGATAATCGCCACGCGAGAAAGATAAAAACAAACTCGCGACACAACACGTCATTTCGATGGCCTGTACTCTTGTCGAACATGAGCTTTCGACCAATCAGCGCGTGAGATATCGCTCAGTTATGGTAAAACATTTCTTGGATGCACAGATAAACAAATTCTATTAACCATAACAAACGATATACAGTCAACTCCCGATGACTCGAACCTTCAAGGGAAATCGAAAAAAATTCGAGTTATCGGTACCTCGAAGCAAATAACCGGAAGTAAGGGAAAAACCAGTTTTTACTGTGCAGTGAACATTTTAATCACATTTAACTGTAAAAATGTCAAGTTAAAATGAAATCATGGTTTTAGAATATAAATCAGAATGTAAAGTAATAAAACATAGCCTAAATAGAGTGTGCATTTAACTATTTCGAGAATAAAAGTTATTTCATGTAGATTTGTGCCAAACAAAGCCATAAGCCTACAACACGTCAATGGTAAATTCAAAATTCAATGTTTCGGACGCTAGTACACTGTTTTTTTTCCGACTTTAAGCGCTCAAAACATGGTTCGAGTTATCGAGGGTAAAATTACAGCAAATGTGTGAAGGAAATCCAGGGAAAATCGAGTCTGATTCGAGTTTGCGAGGGTTCGAGTTATCGGGAGTCGACTGTAAATTCAGTAACATACAATGGAGAACAAATGTAGATCACTTTATTCCATGAGCTTATGTACTTCATGATTCCCCGTAGATGAAGCTGTGGTTTGTGGAGCATCTTCTGCGCCGGATTTTCATTTTCCTTGAAGTCGGTGTTTCCGTTTTTGAAATCCAGTGACGACTGGATGGAGTTGGCGTTCGCGGGGGTGGGAGGGTGTAAGATTGGTAGAGTACAGGTCAACTCAAACACCACGTACCTCGTCGTAAACTAAGAAAGAGGGAGAACTCCACAATTAATAGACCTTTCTATTTTCAACTTTTTGGATAAAAAGTAGTAAACGAATATCCATCGAAACTGCTTGAAAGAGGGCCTTGAAATATGGTGACTTCCCAAGTTTAAAGGTGATGCGTCCAAAGGGTTTGTATCGGGGTGGGGGCACTTATACAAACGTCTGTTCGTTAGTTTTTAACAAATCTCAATCAAACTTAGCAACTTTACTGATTTACACACGCTCTTTCCCGCTGCGTCGACGGATTTTTGCTATCTCTTCCTGGTCAAACGTTGAAAAAGCAATGGAAGGGTCTATTGGTCTGAAAGAATGCAGATTTGCTGGCGCGACTAGAAACGACCCTATAGATACGCTGTGACCTCTGTCGAAGGGCTTCGTGAATTTTCTATGGCCAGTTAGGAAACATGAAGGATCAGCAGGGTCAGTAATTACGGGAGGTTCCGAGTTCGAGTCCCAGGTGTGTCCATTAATTTTTTTTTGTCAACTTCCTCCCAAACTGTGTTTACAGTGGGGATAACCTGCGTAGCAGGCCCAAGAAAGAACGGGCGCGCGAAAGGGGGACTCGCGTGTCTCCCTCTCGCGCGCTTGTTCTTTCTTGCGCCCACTACTACCAAGCGCCTGCTACGCAGGCTACTGTAAGGCTCTTAAAACCGGCACTCTTAGAAGAAGATTGTCTAATCACAGCGTTTTCTGAAAACAAAAGATTCTCAATTTTTACTCTTTTTTTTTTGTTTGCAAACGGACCAATAAAATTCTAGGGTCAACTATGCAACCGTTGAAATCTTTAAACTTAATATTATTGGTCCGTTTGCAAAAAACCTTTGTTTTCAGAAACCGTTGTGATTGGACAATCTTCTTAGAGGTGTCCCGGTTTGAGTATCCGCACTGTAAGTAGCTCAATTGTAAACTTAAAGAGAACTCTCGTTCTCGTTCAAGAACTCAGGAAAGAACTCTTCATCGACTTTAGGGGAAAAAAGCGATGTCAATCATATATTTTATTTGAAATTAGCTACTCTGGGTATAGGGTACTGATAATGGCCTCAGAATCTTATTCAAAGTGACAGGCCTCTTTTAAATGTGTGCTTTTGTGGCAAACAACACACCATTTTTTCATACTAACCGTTTCCCAAGTGAACTCGGCTTGTGGTCTTCTCATAATGAAAAACTCCCTGATGTCGTTTCCGATGATATGATTTCCCACAGAAGCTATAATTTCGTGTCCAGCCATATTGATTGTCATATCTTGCGACAAGGCAAAACTGAAAGGAAATATACTGAAAAAATCTTCACATTGATACCTTGCTGGTTCTTAATGGATAGTAAGTCTGGAGCCGGAGGTTTGTACCCAGAATTGTCAAAACCCAAGCGGTAGACAACTTGAGTTGTATTATTGACGACTTCGTTGCCTAGAACTTTTACATCCACGTCCATGTCATAGAACTGAGTCGCGATTTCTTTGATTTGACCAACCACGTAGAACATAAAGCCCTTCCGTTTGGAAATGTAGTGCAAAATTAGCCCAGAGCTTGTTTCCTCCTCACAAAAGAAACTCGGGGACTGAAGCTGTGGATAACCGAAACGCAGGTGCTCGTGTAAGCTGTCAATTCCTATCAGAAAATCCCGGAGGCAGCGGCCGCTTACTTTGATGACACGATCGTATCCGTAGTGACTAAAGAATTTCACGAAACAAGTGCCAAAATATTGCATAAAGTCGTCACTTAACATGTCAGTCTCTTCTCCGAGTATTTCGGCGGCAGTGTCAGCAATTTTCGTCATTAAGCTTTCACTGTATTGCTTATGCGTAATAAACATGTGATTGCATATTCCAGCACGCTCTCGAATCTCGTTCCATTTAGCCTCACCGAATTTCTTCGTAAGGAAATGCTGGACACTTTCCAGAAGAATTCCGTACATTTTGGGTTAGTGGAAAAAGTCTTGTGAGGGCCTAAGCAAAACTCTGTTGAAAAAAGAAAATAAGCACTTTGCAGCCTGGCATTCACAAAACCTCTATGCATGAGAGAAACAGCTGAGACGCACTGGGGCATAAAAAACAAAGCAAATTACCATGATTTAAATGATACAACTGAGCCGCTTGTCTTGTCCCAGGGCAACCATTGGTCCCCAGCATGGTAGTTTTGTATTGCGCGAGTAACTAGCTGCGAAGGGCATATTAGTCTGGCTACATAATTCAGACTGCCCTCACAGAGCACGCTCGAGAATCTACATAGACGCTAGGAGATGCGTCACGAAATTAATCAAAATTCATTTAACACGGGCACCCAACGAGAACATAGTTCAAAACCACTGAACATAGCATTGTTAAACGTATTTTAACATTTAAACGGTAGATATAGGCATATTTCTATCCCCTAAAACCTGTTCATCTGCAAGAAATTTTACAACAAATGTTCCCGAAAATTCTAGATCTTAAATCGTGCTTCCGAACAGATATTTTTCAAAAATTGACGTTGGGTGCTCTTGATTTAAGAGCTGGGACCGCAACTAAACGTAACTGCGTGAAACATCAAAATAACAGCTGAAAACATGAAAAGAAGGTATAAACGACACAGCAGATACAAAAGGAGAACGAAACGAATGGACGAACTTGAAGAAGATTAAAACGGATTGAAATTGTGGTTTTTGGGAACTTGTTAGCGTAACAGTTTTTCAAAATTCAATTTTTTTGTTTGTAACGTTTGATACAATGCTTGGGAGACATATTTGTTTCACCCGAGGCTGTAATTTTGTCATTCACAGGTAATGTCGCTAGTTCCACAGCAAGTATAGACTACGAGCAGTCTCTTTTTACTTGGTCCGTCGAGCAAAACGCGCGAGACACGCAAATGGAAAATGGCGTCCTGGATTGTAAGAAACACGGAACTAGGCAACCGTGACACAGCCCCCGCACAGCCCCTTAAATTACTGTACGCAATGAAGCAAAAACATGTCAGTAAAATGTGATCGATGACTTAAAACCATAGCTTGAATATCAATTAAATAATGTGAATATTTAATAACATGAAAGATAACTCACCACAGGTCGCACATTTTCCCTATTGTATTGTAAAACTGTTTAAGCAAAGCACCTGATTATGCCCTCGTTCGTAATTTCAAGAATATCGAAGCATATAACTTGCAGAAATGATAACGCGAATAGTTAGGTACTACACTCTTGGGCAATTGTCTTGGAGACTGCGAATATTACTACCTTTTTAATATGTCTTCAAAATGTTTAGTTATTGTAAAATGTATTTATTGGCATAAAATTTTTGGTAATATAATTTAAGCTATCGTGGTTGTTGTCTGTAGAAAAAAGAAACCCTTCATGGATACCTTTTGAGAAAAACATTATGTCTCACAGTTTGATTTAAGTCTCAAAACACATCGTTCAATTAAATTTTAAGTGAAAATCACTCAGTTTCATTTATGAACGTACAGAAAACCACAAAATCTCCAGAAAATTCCAAAATTGAAGAATACCTTGGTAAAATAGACACTTAGAGTTGGTCCCTGCTTTTCTTTTCTTCTCTCCTTTAACTCTCTTTAAGATGGATATCTCTCTTAAAACGGACATTTGGTCATCTCGGACCCAAAGTATCTGTCTTCGAGAGGGAGTTAACTGTACGGATAGTTGTTTTTACCTTGCCATGCCTTCCGTTTGCCTCTCCTATATTAATATTTTTATTGTCTTAGCAAATATCTACCTATGACGTCGTTTCCTTAATTAAGTCTAACCGGTAAATTACGTGCCTTCCTGTATACTAATGAAGGCATTCGTTCATACTAATGAACCTGATAGTTTCTTTCATATATTAACACCTGTCTTCCACTTCCCTAATGTTACAGAAGACACAATGGCCGTTCTTATGCTAGAGATGTTAAAGTCGTCTAGAGGCATTTAACGCGTTAGAATGCGTTGAAGTCGACTGGTGGAAAAAATGGGAAGCATAAAATTTCAAGGAGGAAAAAAAGTTGACGAAAGCATTGGAAAAAGCAGAATTTTGTGAATAAAAGATAAAACACTGACTCTTCTTAGTCGTTTCTGGGCGGCTTGGACATAATGTGTCCCATTAGACTTGTCTCTTAAGTATCCCTATTTAAATACTATAAAAAGGCGATCGCCTCTGGCAAGACGAAAAGCCGCTTAATTGTATCATTCAATTCTTTTAATTAACGCTAAGCACAGACAAAGACTTTAAAAAGGTGATTACAAAAAACGTAGCCTCCTCTATCTCGATAAAATGACCAATTCTTGATACCTTCTGACTTCTCTGCTTTTGGTGACGAAAAAGTTACCTAACTCTTTTTAGCAACCTCTTTTGTTTACGCCCCATAGCCACTAAGTCCGCTCTTAAAAGAATAGGAAAAAATATAATATAACAATATAACAACAGTACCTGTAAATCCTGAAAACCGCGTCTAAGAGGTTCAGTATGATAGAACTCTAGTATCTCTCGCAATAATGGTGTTTGCTTTTTTCGTGGAAGTACTGAAAATAGTCGTGAACTTCTGTGAGAACAAACTCTTGGCTCATTGGGCGTCAGTTAATCATGCGAGCCACTAGGAACGAAGTCGATATTTGCATACGCTGACTTAATTGGCTCTGCAGTACTTTTTAACAAAAATCAATATCCAACCTATTGAAAACCGGCATCATACTGATGCTCACAATTGAACAAGACACGTACACTTTCCTTGAGACACAAAAATTAAATTTATTGCCCTTGAAAGCAGGAGCTCATAACCTGGAGCGAGCAACTTCCATGCGCTTGTGTCACGACGTTTTCACGGAAAGTGCCCTAGAATGTGTCTAAAAATAAACTTGTCTGTAAAAACGTGGTGACATAGGCCTAGTATGGTCGTTACTCGCTCCGGGTTATGAGCTCTTGTTGAAACCGAATACAACTGAAAAGTTAAAATACACAAGGATTTGAGAAGGACGAAAATCAACCATGTTCTTGGTCTTCGTGTTAAGAGAGAGAATAAAAGGTGGTTTTTGGACGTATTAAGAGCGGATGTTAGTAAAATATCTGCCGGAGGTCTACATTCGTGAAAAATCGAAAATTCTCAAAAAAATTTGCAAAGTGGTACCAGATAAGCTATTAACGTTGATGTGATTTTTACTTCGATCCGGTAATTATTTTAGACGTACGCGGGGCTGGTTGTTTTACAGGCCAGACGGCCGTGTGTCGTTTTAAGAATCAAATCAATCTTAATCAATTTAAGGGCGAGCAACAAATAACTTTGTCAGAAAAGTACAAAATTATACACATTTTAAATGGTGATTTAATCAGTTTGAAAAAAAACGTAATATCTTGGAGATTTTTCTTTCGATGAAAAAATGGCAAATTTCAAAGTCCAAAATCGTCGATTTGTTCGTCGACTTCAGTTAAAAAGTCTTATACTACGTTACAAGCGTTATCAGTTTTGTCAAAATCTATTTCCAAAACTATGGGCAACTTAAAAGAAAGTTTTTGAGGCCCAAAAAATACAATTACTACTTTTTTGAAATTTGAGCTTTCCTTGACTCAGAGGACCGATGCTAAAAACTCTGAAAAATAGAATAAGAAATCAGTTTGAGCAACAGTGGTTTAGCTATTAGCAACCACGACGTGTTTAGCCAGATTGGATATAACTATCGTATGGAGAGAATTAGTTCGGAACACAAACATGGCCGCCGTTTCATTGTTTCGGAACACCAATATGGCCGCTGTGACGTCATGTGAAAACGCTCCATTGGAGCTATAGTGTTTTCACATGACGTCACGGCGGCCATTCTATGGCTGAAGACCTCATAAAATGTAAACTGCGAGTTTATTGAATGGTCTGAAAGACTTTTACAAGTAAGAGATATATTTCCTTTTCCAAAGTTATCATTCACATAGACAGCAACCACGGTAACGGTCTCCCATCACCCTCGGAGACCCAGCGGCAGCTGGTCGAGAGGATAGAATCGGTTCGTGGTGAAACTTCACTGAAAGTTCACTGAAAGTTTACTGTAAACTTTCACCACGAACATTCTATCCTCCCAAATAGCTGCCCCTGGATCTCTTAGGATGACAGTGGCCGTGAAAACGCCAGATATCATACAAACTCGCGTTCTTCCAAACAAGTTCATCGCCTGTAATCCAACTCGCTCAACTTTTTAAATCCTATGTTAGCCACTATCCGGGGTTGAATTGTTAAGGCTCAGGGGATCATTTCTCAATGGTCCCTTTCAGACCCGAAAAGCTGCTGTACTTACATTTAATATCAATGTTTCAACAGTTTGGGGAAAATATGATAAAACTCTCAGTTAACACGATCTTTAGAGATCTTTAGATCTTGATGTTGATGTTTGGCTCCAGGTCCAAAAACGTTCGGCAAACGGGCGTGACGGGCCCAAGAACGGCTGCGAAGGATAGAACTGTGCAAACGCAGTGGAATTCTTCGCTAGGTACTTCATGTATGATTCCTATAGTGTACCCCAATTGCCCAGTGCCTGATGTATTGCAGGCTCATGAGCTTTTTAACAAGGTCACGCGACTGGAAATCACTCCTGATCCAGAGCAAAGCTTCCTGTCACAGGTATTGTAATCTACAAAGCCAAAGATTTGCCCGGCTTCTGTAGCATAAAGCACCTCATTAGAAGAATTATTATTTCCCCAACAGGAAGTTAGCCATCGCAGTGTTATACCCACAAAAGAAGAGAGGTTAATCAACTACCACGTCGACGTCAGCGAAAAAATGAATTCGCCATTTTTTTTTTTACTTCATCGCAACCGTAGCGATGAAGTAAAAAAAAATGGCGAATGGCGAGTGAGTTGGTGGAGTTCAGCAACTCACTTGACAAGTCAAATGTACTCGAATTCTTCTGGAAATAAATCAATTGTTCTGTGGACTTTATCTGTGTTCAGAAATAACATATTGATTGACAGCAATCTTTGTATGATGTGTTGTGAGAGAGCCACAGAGAGCCTGTACATAGGTATCCTGCTAGCAGAGGCCCTTCGATCTTCCTAGATAATAGCCTGAATTTCATCCAATTTCTTCGAGTCGTTATTACTCCCTCAGTACTCTCTCAGTGCTGAGAGGAGAAATCGACTCGAAGCAATCGGATGAATTTCAGGGTGCTAGCTGGGTAGTGCACAGGTTATTTGTTTGCAGAATGATGCAGTCGGAAAAAAAATAGTTTGCGTAGACAACGACCCAGAAAAAAATTGTTTGTTCCCCCCAAAAATTTCATCACCCCCCTCAAAAAAAATAATGGCCCGTTCCTTTGAAAGAACATTTGCCTTGCTTTTACGTAGCCGCCCAAAAAACAGAACGGTTTCCTAGGTGACGTGACACAAAATGTCGGTTCCAGTCGCGCGTAATCTCGACTTTCGCGTGATGCGGCCGAAGCAAGATGGGGGCCGCTGGCAGTTGTGGTAGCGGTGAGATTTTGTTCGTTTGCTTTGTGATTCTTTAGGCAGGCACCTCATAATTTTTCTTTCTGTTACTACAGGGAAATTGGTGAAGCAAGAAATACCAACATTTAAGATTGTTCTTGTCGGTAAGTAGTGCATTAGCTCGGTGTTTTGCGTTTGATACGTGAAATGTCTCGCAGATTTATAAAGTTCATTCCTTGTTGTATGCAATAATGTGTGTTCGTTAACGTAGATTTATTCGCATCTGTAGGTTTGAAAATAGGCGAAAATTTAATAATCTCTTTTAGCAAGTTTTCTAGCCCGCCGCTTGTTTATTGAGGGGAACCGCGATCAATTCAGGGTTGTACGCACAGCTTTGTTGAAAGAGCGAGCGCTTTGTTTACTTCGATACAAAGCTATTTGCCCCAGTCTTTTGGCTAAGTTTTACACTGTTCTGCCTTACAACGGTATTCAATTTATTGGGAAAACAATTGTGCATTGATTTGGATTTAGTAAATCTTAGGGCGATCATTTAACGACGTGCAAGTTTTTCATCAGTGACTGCATGCTTGTAAATTGTGTTTTATTTGCAATGTCATTGTTTAACACATTCATGATTTATGATTTCAGCTCAAATCTTTTATCTATAAACTCATTGAACAGTTGAGTTTTGTTATGCAGTTTTTGAAAAAGCTGAAGCTTTCAGTAGCGGGAAAACTATCATAATTATCCACGACGATAAGTAAAGCACCACTTGAAGTGATGAGTATCTCGGAAGCGAAAACAAGGGAAAGTGTAATTTTAAATTCCTTGTATCAAGCTACCCCGTCTTTCACCAAACCCCATCTAGAGCATTAAGGTTCTAAGACCCCAGCGGGTTTTATTAAGCAATAGACTACACTTTCTGTGTGTTTACCGGCGTGATAACCCACTTGGATGTTCGGAGAACACGAGAGAAGCTTGTCGTCTCCTGATTTACAAGCTTTTCGAGTGCAGTTTCGACAGTGAAGGAAAATGAAATTTAAAACTATGAACTATGACGTAGTATTCTTGTGATGTTCAATTTTGAGATGTTATTATTTAGTTATTTTATTTATTTATTTTATTTTACTTTTACATGATACGATATATTTTTAGAATGTGAAGACGGAACCCAATTTTCTAAACTCGATAATATAATATTCTTGTGATGTTCAATTTTATTTTATTTATTTACTTTTTGTTTCTTCCTACACACTAACATTGTATTTTTAGCTAACAATTTTTTAATAAAAATCATGTCATTCAGTAAAAAAAAGAATCTCTAGGAGAGCTTGTTATACATGTATAATTCTACTAACAACTTATAAATATAGTAATCATATGAAATTTTAATGTGTTTATTTAGGTGACCCTGAAGTAGGAAAATCCAGCATATTTTTACGGTACACAAAGAATCAGTTTGACTACAGTTATCAGCCCAGTGTGTCTGTAAGCATAGGAAATGTTGTGAAACATGTCAATATTCCATATGAAACTATTGTATCTGTGGCATTATGGGACCTTCCTGGCCGAGAGGAAATGGACTTGAGAAGAAGTTACTACAAAGATGTGGATGCTGCCATAGGTGAGAATTATAGTTCAAAGAGGACAGTTGGCAAATGTGGCTTGGGTTCAAATCCTGGTGTTGAAGCCATATGTGGGTTGAGTTTGCTATTGGTTCTCTCCCTTCCCTCGAGAGGTCGTTCTCTGGTTACTCCAGTTTTCCCCTCTCTTCTAAAACCAACATTTCCAATTTCCAAGTTTGGCCAGGAATGGTACATGAAGAGCCACTTTGTGGATGTGCTGTCTCTAAATCATCGTCATTGTCAAGTTGATGTTGTTCGAAATCTCTAAGTTGTAACTGTTCATAAGATGGCTAAAATGTGTGCAATTCCAAGTGTTGGCTTCAGCTCCTTTAGGGATGAGCTACTGTAAGAAAAAAATAAGCAGGCTTAATACTATTTGTTATTTGTTTTATTAGTGATAAGCTGGCTTTTTATTTAATGCACCTTCAGAATTACCACACATCTTTCAATTGTTTTCCACTGCAAATTGAGGCATTTAACATTGGTACGCTCTTTTCCACTGGCGAAATTCACTTGCCGCCCCCTCTATTAAATAGCTACCTGTACCTTCCTGGAAGTTATGTTGTGACTCAATCTTTTTTCCTCAATCCTGGTTTGAATCTATCACAGCTGGTTACATTTTGCATATATCCAAAACCAAAAAGCAAAATGTAGCCTTAATCTGAGAAATAGCCAAAGACAAATGTGTTGTCTTTGCAAAACAGACAGACCAAGCAATTGTATGTAGGCGATTTTATTAGGTGATTTTTATGGATCACAGAAAACATGGCTTTACATGTCTTATCATGATATTTGTTTGTTTTCATTTGTAAAGTTTTATCCAATTCAACTCCTAGCTGTTATTTCAAAGATATACTCCACTGTATCTATCCATCTACATTAACCTATAGCGAAAAAAGTAGTGAATGATAACCTGAGACTAGCAGATTTTCAATCATGGTTGCTACATGAAATGGATTCTGTTCTTAACTTACCTGACACACATTTTTATTAACATTGTTTTCCTCAGTTGTGGTTGATATGGATGATATTGACTCTGTAACCATGGCAGGTACTTGGAAGCAGGATATTGTTAACAATGCTGTGTTCACAGACAGTTCTGGGAATCCAAAGGAGATCACTGTTGAATCTAATAAATTCATACCAATTTTGCTATTGGGAAACAAGGTTGACAAGGTAAGCTTAATGATAAAAACATATATTTTACAAACATTTGTAATGGTGTTGCAGGGCAAGTTTGTGCCGCCCGTCATACAAGGGTCTAAAATTTTGTGACTCAGCAGAGCTATTAATATCTTCCCTTAATTTCTCTTAAACTTGGCACGTTTATTTATTTTAAAGCCATCATAAATAATTTTTAATTGTTATAATAATATTGTTATTGGAGTGTCCGTTGAAATTCACTTTCTAATCCTTGCCAAAGTTAAAACATTCATTGTGTCTTTTCAAAGTTATGTCAATAATTAAGTGCTTAGTTTTTGTGCTTACCTTACTATGCTGATTTTAATTATAAAATTGCACATCATATCATATGCCTGTAAAATTTTGTGTTTCATATTTAAACAATATATTGAGTTTAACTTTCATTTCTCTTACAAGAATGTAGTTTGAAAACTGGGTGTCTAATGTAAAGAAAGAATTAATGTTGTGCAATACTCAAAAAGGAATATTGTTTTTGTTTTTGTATTTATTGTATTTATTATTGTTTTTACCAGCTGAAATATCAAAAGACAGAGGATGAAACAAATGAATTGGAAGATATGACAAACTTAGAGACAGTGAGGGTGTTAGAGGGTGTTGCATTACAACATGGATTTGTAGGAAGGTTAGTACAGACAGTAATAATTATTAGTAAAACCCAACTAGTGGTCTATTAACATTGCTGTGTTCTGATTGGCTGGACTACTACTGGGCTATATGTTATAGCCTCTAGTAGTGAAAAATGATGGCTTTTTGGCAGCCAAAAAGGATTAAAGTCTAGCTTTAACTTAGCTAAAGTGGTGTTGTCGCGATATTTTTGACCAACTAGTTGTATTTTACTAAAACAATACTCCTCTTGCCCTCGTGGCCTCCAAGTCAATAGCCCATGAGGCTGACTCAGAGCCTTTTCAGGCTTGAGGAATAATAATATTGTTAAATAATATCATTTTTGGCACGTGTCATTTCATTTTCTTCAGTGTACATGTGTTTTCAAAAATGTTATTAATGTCATTGGCTGCTCACCCTCTACAGGTCATGGAAAACGTGGAAATTTACGAATTTCATTCCAGGCCTGGAAGGTCATTATTGAATTTCATGGAAAATTAAAGTTATGTTAGATAAATTCCTGCAGACTGTTGCAGCAAGGACAATTTTAGATAGATGCAATAGAAATTAAATGACGCAAATGTGCACTCATTTTGTTGAACACCAGACTTTGCGTATGTTTAGCCTGTGAGTAGGCTTACTTGTGTGAGTTCGGGGAAAATTTTGGCTAGCACAAAAGTCACTTTTCCTTATTATATGCTCGTGGCTGCACTGCCAAAATTTTCCCCAACCTCGCACAAGTGAGCCGCTCGCAGGCTAGTGTCCAGTTTAACTGGCTTAGGTCAAAACAATGAAAATTTTGAAAATTAATTTTTCATTAGTCACAGCTACATGTAAACTTTAAGGTCATGAAAAATTTTGAAAGGTCACGCAAAAAGTCATGGAAAGTCATAGAAAATGAAGAGCTCGAAAGAGAATAAACACTGACTGGGTATAATGTATATTTGTGAAGACTTTCGTGAAAGTAGGCCAGTTAAAGAAAAAAAAATCAACATTTCACTGTCTGGAACTTAAACAAATCTCAAGCATTTCCTCTAAAACCCTCATAGCATTAGTCAGCTTCTCTTTCATACACCTCCGGTCAAGTTTATCCAATAATTTGTAATTTATAATGCTTGTACAATGATAGAAATCGGTAAATGAAAAGTCAAGTTCGACTTGTAACTAGAGTTTTCAAATCTAGTTCACACCTCAAAGGTTGGTAAGTTTTTGCATACTTTTTACCGAACACTGCTGCAAACATTGTTTAATTTTGTCTAATTGTATTTCAAATACAATTGCTATGTTGTAAATTGTTCTACTGTGAATCGAAATAAAGAATATTCCTTATAAAGAGCCAGAAAACCTGACCAACAACTTACCTGAGAGATTATCCACCATCTTGGATTACCCATAATGCATTACAAAGGCAGCTGAAAGTAAAATCGCTATAAAACAATTTTTTTTACGTTGTTTTTATTCTTTATTGGTAGCATCGAATAAAAGAAAACATATTAATTTTTTCATCTCTTTCTTTGTTTTAGAAGGTTTAATGTTTATCTTTTCTTCTCTGGCACTTTATTGTCTCTGTAAGGTCTGCTTTTCATAGAGCACTATTTTCCACACTTTTTAATTTCAAAAAAAATATAACAAAGCTGCCAGTTAAAAGTTGCTATCATCAAAAATTTTAAACAACTTAAGTTAGTCTTTAAATTGATATATGTCACTCTTTCTCCCTTGAAGTGGTAAGAAAATCTGGTCGGGCCCATGGACTATAAGGAGTACACAACAAACTACATGTATACGTGACTAAAAGCACCTTCTCTGATTGTGTTTTAGTGTAACAGTATCAGCCAAAGAGAGTGATAATAGTGTACATGCTGCAATCCAGTCCCTCGTACGGCACTTACTTCAGCAGAAGATGAAAAAGGCCAGGCAGTCTTCGAAGGGAGGCATGTTCTCCAAGAACGAAGAGATTGAAGAGAAGAACTATGTTACGATAAGCCCTTTGGAAATTTCAGAGCAAAAGGAATTCATACCTCTTATTGTCACAAAAGTTCCTGAGGTACTGTACCAGTCATAAAAATATGTAAATGTTTTGTTGTATGGTGACATCCACTCTAACCTTTTGTTTTTAATAATTAGAATTACCAAAAGGAAGGTATTTTTCCTTTTTCCGTCCAAATCTCCCCTCCTTTTTTCCTTTCATTTGCATAATTAATTAATTTTACTTTATCACTCTGAGGAAAGAAGGACATTATTATAAAGACGTTTTGGTCAATTCGTTTATTCGCCCAACCGTTTAACTCTTTTGGTTATCCGTTGAAACGGACGTGGAATCCGTTTAAACGCTTGTGGTAAACGTTTACATCCGTTTAGCTTCCGTTTACAATCCGTTTTTTTTTTTGCCCGTTAAACGGAAAAGCGTTAGTGTCCGTTTTCGCTTTCCAGATCACATGTACAATGTAAATGGACTATTATGCTGTAGCTTATGGATTTCTGTTCCAGGAAATGCTCTATTTCTAAACTGTTTTCAGATCATCACATTCACTCTCATTTGTATGCATGTACATGCAAAATGAACTGAATGGAGCGAAAAGGAATACATTTTTTTTTGATCAACGACTAAATCCATTTCTCATTCTGTAGACGCCAAATAGCTTATGTTCCACTGTAGATGGACTTACACTGTTATTTGACTTGTTACGTCTCATTTGAAACTCCCTTATGGGTAACCGTACTTTCATTAGAAAATTCTAGAAAACTTGTTGTCTCTTTACCGAAATTAATTTTCTGACGACCTTTTTTTAGCAGTAATCGCAATATCTTGGTAAAACATTTTAGGTAAGTTACAGTCAAACCCAGCTTTATGGACACCCGCTTAATACGGACACCTCATTATTACAGACAGTTTGCTTTGTCCCTGGGGAAAGAAAGCCCTTACATTTTCTCTAAATTTAACCTGCTTAATACGGAGACCCAGGGTTAGTACGGATACTTTCTTCCAGTATCCGTATTAAGGGGATTTGACTGTACTAGAAATATTTCAAATATCTAAGACCAAAAGCCATAATGGGACAGGTCCCATTTGATCATAAGACAAATGGTAAGGGTATCCAAAAATTTTTAGCCTTCCTCGAACTTTAAACTTTTCTCCTTTGAACAGTGTTACTTTACAGTCGTTGGGTGCCCCTGATTTAAGGAAACAAGTCGATCTGTTTTAAGCGTCTTGTGATTTTGTTTTGCCTTCCAGTTTGATGTTTTCTTTTCGGAATGTAATGCTCCCATAAAAACAGTCCAGGAAACAAGTACAGGATTACTTGATGCCATGAATAATTTCAAGAGGGCATGCAGCATAGCTGGTGTAACGGGCAGCGCAAAGGCTTCACTCGAAGAATGCGTTGATGGATTAAAGCAGCTGATAAGAACAGATGATGATGAAGATGGACTTGAGGTTTGCAACTTAACCGAAAGTAAAGACATTATTTAAAGGGGCCATGTCACGGCTAGTTAAAGGAGCCGTGTCACGAAATTCAGCCAAATTAAATGCCCGTTAAATTAAGAGAAACATAAAAAATAACCGCCTAAAACATTAAAGGGAGGTTAAAATAACACAACGGAAGCAACAAATGCCACGGATGGGCAAAACTGAAGAAGACTGAAAAGGATTTAAATTAGGGTTTTTGAAAACTGTTCAGCCAAACAGTTTTTCAAAGTTGATCCCTGCTGCTTGCAACTTCAAAAATAATGCACGGGAGACATATTTGTTTGTCTCGGATCTCTGTTTTTGTCATTTACCTATAATTTCTTTGCCTACTTTAAGTTCCATAGCGATTGAGGGCGAGTAATTGGAAAAATTAAACAAAATGAACTAGACTGCCGTGACACAGCCCCTTTAAATAGTGAATGACAAAATCACGGCCTCGTGTCAAACAAATCGTCTCCCGAACATTATATAAGACGATACAAACAACAAAAATTAACTTTGAAAGAATGTTAGACTAACGAGTTTTCAAAAACCGTAATTGTAATCCGTTTCAATCTTCTTCAAGTTTGTCCATCCGTTCCTCCTTTTGTTTTTACTGTGTTGTTTAAACCTTCATTTAACGTTCTGAGTGGTTATTTTTGTTTCACTTAATTTTGTGGCAGGTCTGACTGTTTATTAGTAAATTTTGATAAATTTCGTCACACAGCTCCAGGACGCTTTGCCAGGAAAGACGCGGAATGCGAACCCTTTGTCTTGAAAGACGCGAAATACTTCGTTGTTTTAAGCGATCAAAATGGTGACTTTAATAGATGGACAATCTTCTTTTTACATGTTCTTTTCGTACATGTGAAAGGAAGATGAAGTAGGTTTTAGGGATGAAGAAAAAACGCCCCCTTTTACTCGTGTGGAGATCTGGAACTACCGAACATCTCCGTTGCAGTTCTTTTGTCACGTGACCGTCCTTAGTTCACCTGACTGTTTTGAACCATGCACTTTCTACCGATGAAGGCTGAGCGATTCAGCCGAAATATTTAAGAACAAAATTATCATGTTTCCGGTCTACGATTCCTTTAAACTTAGGTCAGCGGAAAGTGAAATGAACTTTTAAACTGGACTTACATGTATGTCCTTTCATGAAGGAAAAAAAGCCTGATAGCAGGTTTAGAACCCTAGCTGGTAAAAGGCAAACCAGTTTGTTCGAATTTCTACCTTCTCTTTTGGGTATCAACAGTCCATTACTGTTACTTTCCTCTTTAGGCACATGAGGATGGAGGGTACATAAAGCTAGTGGTCAAGGATGAGTGTAAAGATCGTGTTCCTGGTCCTGTTCAGAGGGTACTCAAATCATTTCACAATGAGGTAAGAGGGCCCACCCCTTTTGCTTCCCCATTTCCGAAGAATAACACGTTCCTGTAAAAAAATAAGTTTACTTTGTAGTTTCTAAAGTACAGTGGCTAACAGTGGCCATCAAATTTCAAACGTCAAGTTTTAAGTGATTTTTCGAAACTGCTAACTCAATTAAATTAATCAGGTTTTCATTTTCACATGCACTCTATTGAAACTGTATACAGTTAATTTTCATGTCCATATTAGTCTCTATTACACATTATATTTCAGCCTAACGTTAGCTACAAGTACATCTACATAAACAAGCTTGCCACATGATCCTCTTGTAAAAATTGCATTTTTAAATCACTTAGTTAAATACTATTACTAATTAAACATTCGGACCTTAAATAATGGATGTATTTATTGAAGCAGACGGAGGAACCGCCTCCCAGTAAGCCCAATTGGGTCAGCGCCGGTCTGAATGCTGGAGGGCGGCAGCTTCAAACCCCGGAACAACATTCAGGCTCTTTAAATAACTGAGGAGAAAGTGAAGCCTTTGTAACGTACACATGCACGCAAACAGTTAGACTCTCTTACAATCCTTGCTCCTTTGAAGTCTAATGTACGTTGAAGGACCCGCCCTCTATTCGTAAAGAGTAAGGAGACGTACAAATGTAGTCTGCGTAGTCCCCGGTGGGGTGGTCTACCTCTACCAGCGTCACGGTGTGGTTGGCCTGCCTAGATTCGCTACAAGGTCGTCGGAGTGAGTGAGACCACAGCGCACATATAGCCTAAAGTCAGGGTAGTTTTGCCGGGTGCTGGAGCCCACACTCATTAGAAAGCAGGAATGAAATAGGGGATTCCCTCTGAAGTACTAATAAAGAAATTAAATAAGGACCAGGGCCTGATTTCTATTGGGTAACAAGCTTGAATCAAGGTCGGGACAAACTGAAAAAGCCTTTAATTAGGCTGGTGATTCTTGTCTCACTTATGCTAATCGTTGTTCCTCTTTTCAGGTTTGTGCAGCTTCAAAGAAAGTTTTAACCTTGTCGCCCGGTGCTCTTAATAAACTTCGGGAAAATGAAGACAAAATAAACGAGTTAAAAGTGACCGCGTTTGACCGTGCAGTAACTCGAGGAATGAGTCAAAGACGAGCTAAGGCTGCTGTTATAAACATTGATGCAAACTGTACGAGGATAGGAGAAGCAGTGGCCACAGCAATGGAGACTATGACAGCTGTGGACAGCGATTATAAGAAAATCAAGGCGGCCATGCTCTGGTGATCTTACTTTACTTCCGTAAATACAGAGAGTAATAACGCCAACAAGACGTTAACGCACATGTAGGTCGCCAAGGGGTATGGATGTTGCCTTCTTTGATTCCGAAATTGAGTACAGATTTTTACGTTAGCGTGTAGGTCTTAAAGAGGGTACGATTTTGTGCTCCCTTAAACCAGGATCTACTGTTGAATATATTTTTTATCATTCGTCCTTTACGAAATTCATTTTAGTCTTAAATGGTGTCGAAAAAAAAATAACATATTTTGACCTGAAATAAGGTACTCCCTCTGGTGTTTAGAGTTAAGTTTTAAAAGGTAGCTTGAGATATAGTATGTTATGTACAGTGTATGTAAGCTAAACTATCTGCTTAAGAATGTACAGAGCGCTCCCCTGTCAGCCACTTCGGGCCTCAGTATATGGGAAGTGACGAAGCAATTACAGTAAAAAGCCGCGAGTCAGAGCCTGCATTTTTCCAAGTTAGCCTGAAAAGGTTCATTAGCACAAATTTAGGCTTAATTTGGGTTCTTAAATAGGTTGTTATTTTCTTAAAAGATACATGGAAGCACCGAAATTTTGCTAGCCTGCAGTGCAGGCGTATTTTGGGTGGGCGAAAGCTTGTTAATCGGATCGCTACGATGAAGCCGCCATCTTTGATTCTATGACAGAGGAAGATTGGGGAGAGTAGAAATAGTAACCCTTACGGTAGGTTCGCCCCATTTCCTCCTCTCTTTGGGAGTTTCAACATGGCGCTTTCGCGATTAAAACCATTCGCGCGCGCCCGATGAAAACGCCTGCACTGCAGGCTAAAATTTCGCCGCTTTTTTGTGTAAAACGAAACAAAGTTCGCATTTTGATTACCGAAATTCGCGCAATTTCGCTGATTTCGGCAAATTTCGCTTGCATTTCTTTTGCACAGTACTGTAGCTAAGAGTATTTACGGGTATTTGACCTATTCCTTGCATGAACGTGCATACCAGTACATTGCAGTTGGAGTGTTAAGGCACCTATGCCTCCAAAGAGGATCCTGAATGTTGACTTACCTTACTTGCCCAAGGGTACAGAATTAATTTTTTGAATAGGTTTTAGAAAAGAAGAACCTGTTTCAAATTTTTACCTAATCAAGTTCTCCTATAGAGGATCTTAACTGGCCCATTTTAGCCCAACAAGTTCTTACTCGCGGGTTTTTACTGTATATTTTAGAGTTTATTGAAAATATAATCCTTGGAATAATGTATAACAGACCTTATTTATGAACTGAGTTCTTTACTATGATACAAGATATTGTAATTTAAATTTGCTTTGTCCAAGATATAATTATCCCACGGAGGGTGGTTTTTCTTTTACAGTTCGTTCTGTTAAGGATTGGAACTATATACCAAGATCTCTGCGAGTTTTGCACAGCTACTCACGTTTTAAAAAAGGCCTTTTTAAGAAATTTTTAGTTACTCGGTTTTTTAAGTCAGGAATACAAAAATGATACGAAACTTTAGGTGTCTACGTCAGTCTAATTGCTCCAATCGTGAATTTTTTCAAGTTGTACCTGCCTTTTGTAGCAGCTTTTAATCAACTCCTCCTTTTTTCTCTTCAGGGTTTTTCCGTCTTCTTAAGCTTAAGCATGCGCAATTTTCTCCCCCTAACGGCTAACCTGTTAAACCTTAATTTATACCTTAGTGTACAGCTGTAGGTACGCTCTCGTAGTTCACGCGTTCGCTTACGTCTCAGTTATATTGTAAAAGAACGTGTATTATTATACATTGTACTCATGATATGTCTTCTCATTGGTTAAGAGCCAACAGTTAATTTTTGAAATCACCGCAGCCTACAGGTTAGAATTAGTTATCTGCTAGGAGGTAACTGACTAATCTGTAGGTTGCGCGCACAAGGCATGATTTCCAAGAGCAATGTCAAATCGGTTCCGTGCGATGGTTTGTCGTTATATTCTTCAAAACAATGCATAATAAAACAATTATTGGACTCGGTTTTTGTGATATCCGGAATAATCAAGACCTCAGTAAGTGCTATCAGCCTAGGCCTTCGGCTCGGCTGATGACATCTCCCTCGAACTTGATTATTCCGAATATCTCACAAACCTCAACCAATAACTGTTTGTTAAAGAAATAGATGTATTATAATTCGATAAAATGCACGTCATGTTGTTACCTTTATATTTATAGCTCATAGAGGCGTGTAGAGATGGTACAATTGCCTCTACGTGTGTTTTGATATTTGTGGTTAAAAGAGCTGTGTCAAGCAATGTTAACAAAGTTGGCCTTTAGAATCGGCAAATTGACGAAGCATAAAAATAACTGCTTAAAACATTGACGAATGGTGTAAATATCATAGCAAACACGAAAGACAAAATCAAATATAATCACAGCAAATTGCAATTGGAGTTTTGGAAAACTGTTCTGCCGATCAGCTTTTCAAAGTTTAGCTGTGTTTCTAAAGTTAAGTATAACGCCTGGGATAATTTTCTTTTTTGTCGTGTACAAGTAATATCTTCTAATACCGAGGAAGGGGAAAAACAAAACAAAATAAACTGGACCGCCATGACACAGCCCATTTAATCTCAAATAAATGTTATTATAAAAAAAAGCAAATGCTGTAAATACCTACTTAACTAACTACAAATAACCGTAGGTAGCGCAATTTATTTACGTTCATTCGTGCTGTAAATACTGAACAAGATTCTTTGAGAGACTTTTGACGAAGTTTTCTTCATTGTAAAGTGGTTTATTTTTTTATTTAAAATCCCCTAACTATTTGTAAGTTAATTATATTACAGGTTTATTAAAGTAACTCTATACTGAGCAATGTCTGACATTTATGACTTTATCAAAAAATGGAAATAGGCTGGCAGCGTCGGTTTGTAAGAAGCTTTTTACCTGACGGTGGTTTATTTATATGGTTTACGGTGAGACTTTCATGCTAACGAACACCTTTGATACGTATAGAGGATTTAATTTGGCGCCAAGATGATCACAGCTGTACGAAAACAACACTCGATTTCTACTGTTCTTTACATCTCACTTTCTCATGATTCGTTGAGCCACTTTGGGTTCTTACTGACCTCGGAAACTGTCATGGGCATTAAATTCTTTCGTTCTTTTTGAGGTACCCAGTGGCAATTTCACCGTGGAAAAATCGTTCACACACAAAAAGGTTGCTTCCCCATGGGCAACAGCCGTTTGCCCATGGGTAAAATGTCTAGTGTAACCGCAACTACCGTAAATTAACTTGCAGTAACAACTACAATCTTCTATCACCCACAGGACCGCCGTCTAAAGTGCCTTCAGAAATTGAAATAAACAGGAATCCCGGGCCGGGGTTAAGGTATTTCGGTACAGTTTCTCGTAGATCATACCAATATTTTTCAATCGCTTTAAAACTGTTTTTATTCTTGTCCAATCGCTACAAAATTACCTGTGATTCACTATGAATTGAAGTTTGTCAAAATTCAGTTTTTAGTAAAACCGATTTCACTATGACAACAATAAAGAAAGAAATTTGAAATCGATTAAAAACCGAATTTCCCGTCATTTAGACTGATCATGAAAAGCCGACACTAGCACAGGTGTCCCAAGCTCACGTTAAGAATTAATTTTTTCACAAGAGAGTCGGTGTCACCTTACAAGCGATCGTTGAGACTTTGAATGATCGTTGAGAACTTTCATTAATGATTTTTCTATAAAATAAATAAAATTACTTTGATGTCTGCGTTTTTGGTGTGAATTCATCGAATTATCGTTTTTCTTATTTATTTTTCCCCTGTCATTTAAAAAAAACCCCGAAAATATGAATTCACACCAAAAAACACAGGAATACATCAAAGGTAAGTCTCCTTTACTTATTTTACAGAAAATAAGTAAGAATAATGATATTTAGCGTTCGCAGACCTCAGTATTTTATTTCTCATACAAAGTCTCAACGGTTGCTTGTAACGCGACACCGGCTCTCTTGTGAGTTTACAAGTAACATTCTCCCAGCATGAGCTTGGGATGCCTGTGACGCTAGGAACGTTTAGCAAATAAAGTCCTTGAGAAGTAATAAAATTCTGTTTGTTTGAATTCAAATAAAACGTTAATATATTTCAAACCTTACATTTTCAATAGCCGTGATAAATTGTTTAATAAAAAACGTTCTAGTAACTCAAATTAATCTTAAGTAGCGTCAGTAGAATGCTGCCTAATATCATAACTCGATGCTAGGAAATTTTGGTGTGTTATTATCCTTCATGCGATCCTTAAAACTAACCAGTTTTCTCACCACCGGTGTAAGCAACTTTATCCTAACTTTTGACTTTTTAACTCTTTTTTTGTATATCTTTGGAACGGCTTGACAGAATATTTTTTAAATCTCATCATTAACATTGTTACACTGCAACACCTTGAAATTTCAAGACGAAGCTAGCCTACGAACCGGCTAAAAATCCACGTTACAACATTCACTGTTTTGAGGTTATGCAAATTTTTTCAAATATAAATGCCCGCCATATATACCTCCAATGCAATAAAATGTAATGGAGAACAAAGATATAAGAGAGTGTGAGAGACGAAAGGGGCGAACACGAACAGACTAAGGGGTCGACCATTCCGGACTTTGAGGGAGGTATGGGTGATTTCAGAAAAAATATGTCCTGCAGACTGATTTCGAGGGAAAAAAAATTCTTGCAAGGAAATACCTGGCGAAAAAAATTCCTACACTGAAATAGCCTGCGTAGCAGGCCCGTTTTTTCGCGGGCTGTTTTTTCTTGTGCCCACTATACTTCCAGGCGCCTGCTACGCAGGCTAACACGGAAAATATACCTATCATGGTGTGTAATGCTGGAAAAAAATCTTACACCTTTGTATGTCAGGAAAAACAATTCTATCACCAGACCCTTAAACACAACGAAATATATATGATCAAATAGCTCAAGAAAATCACGCTTTTAGGCACAACGATAAACACCTCAAACCGATTTCAACGGCACAGTCGTATTCTATTTCACGGATGGTCGGCAGACCAGCACGGGCTCTGCTTTCCAACCGGATGTTTTTCTAAGTCTTTCGCCGGGTTAAAATTAATCAAAAACACTGGTGAAAACAATGAGAAAGATGTTTTTCGGTCAGTGACACAGATGGCCTCGGAAAAAAATGCGAGTACTCCCATAAAAAGTCAAACCTTTGACCTTCAAAGGTAAAGAATGGTTCCTCGAAATTCGTGGGTCTCGCCGGGAACATTTTGGCCCAATATCCGGCAAAATCTCTGAAGCGTTTCTAACAGGGCTCCAAGCCTCTCGTTTTCGGGTAATTTTGTGTTCTTCTAAGTCGCAGTCTTGAATTTTAAACGTGCCGGGGCCTCGCAGTCTCGGAGAGTTTCGAATTTACCATTATTACCATTCTATACCCTTAGAGCTAACGAGCCACTCACTTAGGTTCTTGTGACAAAGATCCCATATAGTAAGTCGGTGCGCGCTTATGCGCAATCGTAGAAATGTGTTCTTCAACTTTAAGTTTGACTTAGGTTGCTCAAACGTTAGATAGCACGTCAACAAATCGTTTAATTTTAATCACTCTCCAGCGCGGATAAGTATTTATGGAAACTAATTTTCGCCGTTGTCTCGGCTGAATAGCCAAGAGATTTATGCAGTAGATAGTGTTATCCACCTTTGGAATATTAACTGGGGCCTGATTTAAAAATCAGAAAGATTTTATTCAGTCAGTGACTCAGTCTTTCTCACGACCATCTCAAGTTAGCCAAAACGCATTATAAAATGTCCGACCATGCA